ACTTGGTATTAATTCCAAATTCCAATTTCCAAATTCATCAGATACAGATAGAGGATCAATTGGGTTCCCTCTTTAGCCACATAGCCTTTTGGTGCATGACTGTAGAGCATCTAACTTACCATTTCTATTGCTTATAAAAAGAAAATAAAAAAATATGGATACGGATTCGTATTGATGGTCCACTAACAAGGTTCAAGTATAATCTTTGATGCATAGAATCGTATGGGATCAAGAAGAGTTGTTAGAACAAATCAAATCCTTTTTTTTTTTTCTATCTTGGTACTGTTTAAAAAGTAAAAAGCTACACGAAACAGACAAGAAAAAACAAATTTCTTATTAAAGGAGTGCCTTTTTACGTAAAAAAAAGGCGCAAAACATAAAAAAGAATCATCTAGGAGTTATAGTTTCAAAACTAATAAGTTAATTTTAAAAAGGAAAAAAATTATTTTAGTATCCTGAACTTTGGAGTTAGTGTTCAAGTTAGTACTCGTATTAACCCTATCATCTAATTTTCTCATAATTGATATATCCAATCTCTAACCACTAACCACCTCCATTATCAAGCTGGTTATGAATTCAGGTATTCACGTCAAGCATTTAGTAGAGGAGTGTAGAGTCTTGAGCCCCAAATACTACCTTTTGCGGTTACTTTCTAACTCTCCTCGTTCGGGAAGACCAACATTACTACTCTGGGTCCTCTTGTTCTGCCAATGTTGGAGCAGTTGCACTTCTTTGCTACATTGGTCGGAAGGAAGCTCCTCAAGATGAAGATCAAACCATACATCCCCGACTTCAAATTGGCTTTCGAGCATTTCTGTATTCATGCAGGTGGAAGAGCTGTTCTGGATGAATTGGAGAAGAACTTGCAGCTATCCGAATGGCACATGGAAGTATGGAACCATCAAGGATGACGCTTTACCGGTTGGCAAGATGGGTTTGGAGCGGTAGTGTCATTCAGGATTTTCTATGAGTAGGATGGTTGGATTAATTTCGAGGTGGTTAGGCTTAGCCAAAGAAGAAAATGGGTTGGATCAAGAGGAGGTTGGGTATTTTCATGCTGACTTCTTCATGACTTGCTGGGAATATGGGGATCCATTGGAACTAATTCACATTTACTGGAATGCTATTCTGATTCTCCATACTCTTACACTTGCAAAATGACCCATAATTATTGAGAAGATAGCTTTAAGTAATTTTCAAGTGTCAATGGTTCGCCCAATTAAGCAAGCTCTGGTGGGCTTGATCTGAACTTCCACATCATATTTGTTTCTTGACATTGGTTTATGGATGGGATTTCTTTGCACTAAGAAAATGGAATGAGGTGACCAGAGATCCCGACTTCCTACTTACTAGGTGAAGAAGAGAGTTTCAGGTTTCCAGTCTCCCAGGTCCCAGGTGAGGAGGGGACACATCGCTTTTGTATTTTTGGTAATAAATAAATATTGAATAATAACATGGTTGTTGAGGATGGATGGCGGTACAATTTTGGACTCGCATTTCTCAATATTGTCTTTTCCTTTCCCCTTACGGCTCAGTTTGAAAGGAATATAAATACAAATATATATAAATTAATATAAAATGCAGTTTTGTATTCTACATATTTGTATTTATACTCCTTCCAAACTGAGTTTACAGGACGAGGAGGTGCAAATGGTCTCAAGCAAGAGGCGTTCTGCAATCTGCATCAGCACCGGACGCAATCTGGAGAATTCTGTCTAGTGCCTACGCCCACCACCGGAGTATTCTGCAATCCGCATCCCCATCCCTGAAGATCCCTCTCTTTCATTAAGAATACAGAAAGCTTGATAGTTGCATAGCTCAAGTCTTGCATTAATCAAATTTTTTTGTATTTCCAGCATTGCTTTGTTGTCTAGTGCCTACGTCTACAACGAATAGGGGTGGATTCGAGTCGAAAAATTGACTATTCGAGCTCAGGTCATAGGAATAGTATTAGGTTTGAGTTTGAGCTCTGCTCGGTTCATAGCTTATAATTTCAAGCTCAAATATAAACTAAATGTATTTTGAAAAATAAAAATTATATTTATAAAATTATTGATGGAGGAAGATTTGATCTGACCCCTTGGCCATGCGACACGTGGAAGTAACCGAGAGTGACCTGGCAGAAGCGCTAGCTCGGCACGGCAGCGGGCCCACAACCCGAGCTCTCCCTTCGAGGTCCTGAGCCTTACAAAAAGCACAAAAGGCAAAAACCCGAACTACCCACTCAGAGGCAATTCGGGCCACACTTTTATCCGAGCTCAAGACTTCACCTCACACACCACTTCGGCTCCAAGTGTCTTGATTGAACAACCGTACCTGTTGCCCAGGAGACCTGTACACAGAAGCGGTGCACTTGATTGATTAGGGGTCCGACACATGATAGCCGCCATCCAACGGCCACCTGCCACCGCCATCTCAGACGGACAGAGGCGGCCCTGGTAGCTGGCAGTGGAGGTTATGACACCCGAACTGGTAATTGGCAGAAGAAATGACACCCGATTTGGCAGAGGAAATGACACCCGATCTGGCAGAGGTATGGAAGTAAGTGTATAGGGTGATTATAAAAGGCCCCCATCTCACAAAGAAGAGGGTATGTGATTTTTGCGCTTTCTAGTCTTGAAATTCTTCATTTCCCTTGCCTTCTCAAGAGTACTAACTTGAGCTTCGAAATGTTCCAACCGGGTTCCTCCCCGGAAGTCTCCATTTCCTTCCTTGTTTCAGGCACCCCCGATTCCATCAGAGGCGAGGTAACCAGCAGCTAGGACCGACCGGATTGCGCTCCATCAATTATTATTTTTTAATTTTCAGACAAAAATTAAGAATTATAAAAATTATTTTTATTTTACATACAAGAAAATAAAAATTATTTATTTAATACTATGCTCGTGAGCTGAGTTTCACTGGGCTCAAGCTCGACTCGATTAACAAATGAGCCTATATATTGAACTCGAATTCAGCTCAAAGCTCGATTTAAATCGAGCCAAACCAAGCTCGAATAGCTCATGAAAAGCTCAACCCGTGACCACTCCTAACTACGAAACAAAAAAGACAAGTGAACCAAATCAAAACAGGAGTTTAGTTGCTATAGTAGCCCAAAATGAAACCAGGGCCCCAACCAATAGTCAGTAGTATTCGGTTAAGAGGCTAAGCGACCAAGTAGATAGGCATGGCCGACATTGAGAACCGGTGTGATTGCTGCTGCTCTAGATTAAGCTCTCTCAAGTTGAGATAAGGTATCTTCACCTCCCCCTTCCGAGTCGGAGTTAATGTGTCGGTGAGTGGTCCCAATGTTGGATGATAGCTCGTTCGGCATGGTGTGGTCGACCTGTTTATACTCTTTGTTATGTATAGCGGCCCAGAACAATGTCTTTTTTTAAAGAATAGTTTTATATTTTAAAAAATTATAAATTGCATATGTCATCAAATAATAAGATAATTACACTTTTTAAAAGTTTGAATACAACTACACATTCAAAAATTCAGGTACTAACTTGACACTATCCCAAAGTTTACGATACAAAATAATTAAAGGTATTAATGCAGCCGAAGGGGCACCTAAATTCCAGTGTGTGGAGACTCTGGACGCTAATATAAATATGTAGCTTCCAATTTCAATTATCAACCTTTTTCTTTTCAAAACAAAACAAAGAAAAGACAAAAAAGAATAGTGAATTTCAGTTGAACCTAGACCTCCCACTAATTGATAAAAAGGGATTACCTTAAGGAGAATTCTTTTTGCGCAAACAAGGATTGGTTACTCGTTCACAGTTTTTGCTAATATAATACATGATAAATATAAACCACATTATGTTATTTATTATCATTCCCCATCTATCATGTATACAAGTTCAACTGAAATATCTTGGAAATTGATAAATATAACTACAAATCTTTGCACGTCACCATCATCGTCATGTAAAAATTAGATCATCATGGTCAACTGTGACCCCAACAAGCATCTCATTACAAGGAATTATGTCACCTTGGTTTTCTTTTTCTCAGATGCTAAGCATACAATATTCTTTTGGGGAAATCTCTTAAAACTACCCCTTATACATCCCTACTTTTGTCCCACTTGAAAATTGAAATGACACTATGTTGCAGATGTGTGATGTAGACCAATTAATTGTCAGGCATTTTTACACCACTCCTATTATTCTTTTTCTTTCCTTTATAAAATTAGGCCCAACATAGTAGTACTGTTCTCTTGGACAAGAAGAAGAAGAAAAAAAAAGTATAGATACAACTGTCGTTTAGTGCCCACAGCTTTGGGAGGATGACGACTCCAGGGGCAATGATAAGATGAGCCACTCCACACCCAACACCAGGTGGAGGCAAACTGACGTGAAATACCCCCGTTGATCTTTGGATCAGCAGTGGGCTAACTAGTGACTGGGTCCTCCGTGATACTAAATTGTTGATCAGACAGACTATCAGGATATGACCACGAGTACGGCTAAAACGGTGTGTGCAATCATCATCATAATTACAAACAAATGATGCACATGTTGCTTACAGAAGCTGTCCATTACATGACATGGCGGACAAAATTTCTCCACCATGGACGGTGGTTCTTTAACGGGGTGGTGTAGGGACCACTGCCATTCACCATTGCACAAGGCGATGGACCGTCGACCGATGGATGACACCCTGGCGTACATAATCCCCACACCCATAACTCCATAAGGTAGAAAGCCCCACCAAAGTGGGTCCCATCCCATGCGAGCAGGCAGTCATGTTGGGGTGGCTCTGGCTCCTTTTAGATAAGCTTGGTTTGGTACGTGTCCTCCTCTACGACTCTATCTACTATCTATATCTATAAGTAAGACTATAAAATATAAATATAAACGAAACGAGCATTGTACCGACACGTGTCAGAGTGGAGTAGGCTACAGGGCTTCTCACGTGCAATAAAGAATGAACCCAAGTGGCCTCTTTATTTCATTGTCTCCCCTTCCTTGCCTCAAGGAAAGTAAATTCAAAGATACTGAAAGCGAGAGGGGATGACGCCACGTGTCCATGGAAACGTTGGGATGAAGAGGAGGTGGGCGGATTTTGCTCCGATGATGAGGTCCGCTATTCTCACTTCACTCCAACCGTGTTGCTGTTGCACGTCCACCACCAGCTATTTAAGCTGACGCCACCATCTCCTATTGCCAGAAAACGCTGGCGTCATCGCTCGGCACAACCGTCCTCAGGGGACGTGGTGCTGACGTCGACGCCCATGTGACTACCTCGTCCCAACTCCCCCGGTAGAGATTAGAATACGTCGTTGATGCCATCGCGATTCGCGAATTAAATGATTTGACTACCCCCTTCTTATTCACATTGTTGATTCCATTGATGACGCCAACAGCTACAAAGAGACGGAAGCCACCTGGGTCCACCCTGAGATCTTTGCTTTTGCATCATCTTGCATTAGATGCATTGAATCGATTCTCCTTTGTTGTTGTTGTTTTTTTTTTTTTTTTTATATATATCTCCTCCCTCAAGCCCACTTGCTGCCTCGTTGACAAAAGGCTTTGCTCGCTCTCTCTCTCTCTCTCTCTCTCCGGCGTTGCAACGAGCGATGCAAGGTGTACGACGTTTCCGTCAGTTATCTGGCGGAGGAGTGAAGCTGGATTTAACGGCGACGGCAACAGCGACAGCGACAAAAGGACCGTTGTCGATCGATGGAACGGAATCGGTGGAGAAGAGGATCGAACGGCTGGTATCGGAGAATCCAGTGATCATATTCAGCAGGTCATCGTGCTACATGTGCCATGTGATGAAGAAGCTACTTTCGACCATTGGGGTGCACCCAACCGTGATCGAATTGGACGAGGGGGAGTTGGGTGTGCTGGCTGCTCTCTATAGCACCAGCGACGGGGAAGCTGGCGGTGGCGGTGGCGGTGGTGGTGCCCCGGCAGTTTTCATCGGTGGAAAGCGCGTGGGAGGTCTGGAGAGTCTGATGGGCCTACATCTGAGCGGGCATCTTGTGCCCAAGCTCAGAGAAGTTGGAGCCCTTTGGGTCTGAATCTGATGACCACCAACTTGATCATATTGTAATTTTGCTATCATCATCATCATCATTTGTAATTTGAACAAAATCAATTATTAGGAATTTTCTTCTTACATATCCTCTTCTCACTTCTGATCTTGCTTTCTCTTTCTTTTTGTTCTCTCAATTTCCCTTTTCTGGTGCGTTTCAGAGATCGATGTAAATACTAGATGAAGAAGAAACAAGATCGAGCTTTTGGTAGAATAATGAGAGACCCACCCACCACAGACCGACCACACCATCTCTAGACATGGAGATTGGAGACTGGAGACTGGAGACTGGAGACGGGACTGATGTGAAGAAACCAAGAGAGGGATGGGTTGTTTCTTTTGCATGAGTGACACCTTGCAGTTGCAGACAACCGGCATGCAACACCCCAAACACTGTTGAGAAGAAAACTCAGAGACCCATTTGCTTTTCTCAAGTAAAAGTAAGCTAAAACCTCTTCTTTTCTATATCAAGGAAAGGAATTCAAGAAGAAGAAGAAAGAAAGTAGTAAGGGAAGGAGATAACTGTGAAGACTGAAGACTGAAGACTGATAAACGGGGTTCCACGTCATGTCATGTCGTTTGGGTTAGAACTTTGAAGGGACAGCCCATCCAGTCCATCATCATCCTCAGCCCAAGTGCGTGTCACCTTTCCTTTTTTACCTCTAAAGCTTAATACATTTTATTTATTTATTAATCCTTCTAATGTGGATAATAGGATCATATTTAATTATTTTATTGCCAAAGAATACAGGCTACATGGACGGTCTTGAGTTTAACGAGTAATCGGCATCTTGGACGAACACACGTGTCGAACATGCACCACCCTTTGTGGAACCGCTTCTGACAACCATGTTTCTCTTAGGACTCCATGGATTGATTTTTATTGCTCAAGGGCAAGGAATCTGCATTCTCCACACGTTCGTTCATTTGTTTTTATTTTTTTGGTAATAAAAAATAAAAAATGAAAAAGGGAAACGGCCAGTGCCAGCTCCAAGATTGGATTCGGACTGAGTGGACAGTTGGACCTCCAAATCAAGGGAGTGATAACTTTGCTGATAGTCCACCCACTAAAGGTTGTATGTTCTACTTCTACTTAGTATCCACATTCCACAGACCACAATCCGTAATAAATAGTAGTGGGCTGGGCTTATCACAGGTCATCTGTAGCTCAGAAAACTGTGCCCATTTTAAATATATAAGACCCTGCTGAAAGAGTGGTGCAACAGTGAGATTTAAGGGACCTTTGTTAGAATTTTCAACCCATGTTCATGGATTCCTCTATTCTTTGTCTTCTATCCATTCAGTGGGCAGGCCACAGCCCCTGGAATATGTATACGGCTGCCTATTCAAATCAAAGCCCCCCATTTTTTTTATTCTGATACCTTCTATAAATTCCACCCAATTCTTTACATCAAAAAGGCATGAACTGAAAGAAATTTGAAGCGAATTAAGAGAATGGGCTTTTGCAGCAAAACTGAAACAACAGGAAACAAAACAAAGAAAAAAGAAATTATAGAAAAGGGAAAAAGAAAGAAATCAGTGCCTTTTTTTTTTTTCTTTTGACGGATGGCATAGAGAAAAGCAGAGGGAGTCCAAATTTTCAACAGATTCATATTCCACTTGACAAAGCTTGGATAGGATGAATAAATATAAAAGACATCTGTATTTGATCCAAATTTTCAAATGAAATCTTTTTTGTTTTTATTTTATTTGTTATCAAGCAATTCTAATTATTGTTGTTGAATATCAGGAGTGGATAAGTAGAATGTGATAAAGCCTAGTACAGAGGCTAATCCTATCCATGTTCATTGTCATGCTGTAAAGATTATCCAATAATGCTTAAATTCGTCTTTTAGTAGAGACTATAGACTATAGAGTAGACACAATAACTTTGTTGGTTGACCAAAATGCTCTAGGATAATTCATCTTCTTCCCATCAAATCAAACAAAGTAACAACCAACAAAATCAAAGAAAATAAAGCTTTCCCAAACCCCACAAAATGCATGTTGCCATTGCTACTAGTGCAACCACCGTCATTCCCTGCAGGTGCCTTCTCTCTCTCTCTCCTCCACTCTAAAGAATGAAGGTGTGTTTCTCTGTTAAGCAGTTGGATCTAAATCAATTGATGAATCTCTCACATTGTCCGATTTACAATCAGAAGGGATTTGTGCGTATCTCGAGTATTTCTCTCAAATGTATTCCAATTCAACCTGGAAGGATCGAAATACAAACAGCGGTACAGCAATGGAGGAGAGCGTTTCTCCCCTTCCACGGTTTCACTAATAATGGTGATTGCAACTCCTCCCTGATTCTACACTCTGGAGTCTCAACTCTAGACTGAATATCAGGTTTGGCGATTGCCGATTGGAGTAAGCCAGGAGTCCAGGATCGGAGTTGAGCGAGAGCCAAGGAGATCCAAGGATTATTTCATAGAAATGAATACAAAATTAACTTGAAGCTGAAGGTGCAATCTGGCTAATAAGTTGGTAAGGGAGTTCAGATTTGCGCCTCACAAGGGGGTGCTCCACAACGTCTCACAGTATATTTCCGTTGTGTATTGAGAATATTTCCTGGTTATGATATCATCGATACTATCATCAGGAGATGTTCCCAATACACGTTGTGGGGCGCATATGTAAACTCTTGGTAAGATCGATCTCTGGATTATTTCAAACAAAAAACAGATTTAAAGATCCGAAGAACCTTGAAGAGGCAGATAGACAGGGAGATAGATGTGGGGTATAAGTATATAACCCACTCAGCTGACTTCCCTTGATGAAGGATCAAATTCAATCCCTCTCTTTCTTTTGGTACTTTTATCGATCTCAGAAATTCTTCTTAGAAAATTATGAGAAGCTTGTCAATGCCTAGTAGGGAAATTGAATTATCAATTTACCGCAATAATTAACTTTTGTTAATTAAAGATTAAAGCTTCCTTCTTCCTTCTGCTATTCTTTCGCCCAATGATGATTTTGCTTTCCAGTTATAATGTTATAACTCTATGTAAAATGCATATACATTTCGCATCCTGAGACAAAGAATTTGATTTGATATGGCCACATCACATTTCGCATCCTGAGACATACATACAGAATTCTTTATTATTTGGGTAGGATTGATATTCGCAAATAAATGAATGGATTGGATTGGACCTTGGACCCTATCCTAATCAAAATCAGTTCGATTTGGATTGAATCCCAGTGAGACATATTAAATTGGACCAGTCCAAAAGTATTTATTGGATTGTATTGACCTGATCCATTTGTAATGGAATGAAATTGGATTGGGTTGGATTGAATCATTACACGGAGGCTGATTAAACGTACCTTACCCATCATTAATCCAAACCCATTTCTCAATCTCTATTCCTTCTCTCAATAGTCAATATCCAAATCTCTCCTTCCTCTTCCGATTAACCTTCTCCATGATCTTCCAAGAAACTATCATTGTCTTCACTTGTATACCCACTGGAAAAATTCACGTAGCGTCAACGAAAAATCATCAATCGTATCATGCATCACTGCATTCTCCTACGGCAACTGGCAACTCAAATTCAAACGGAATCGGCTTCGAAAAGAAATTAAAACCGGATCTTTACAAATTATACCCAGGAGTTTCGTGGTGCCAATCAGTTGGTTGGTAAGTTCTCCTGGGCTACCCCGGAGTTGCAAATTATACCCCGGTTGTGGCCTTGTGGGCGGCTTCAACCGATCCGCCCACGTTCCACCCCAGTTTGTCATTTTATACCGATGCCATGAGTTTGGCCTTTCCTTCTCCTTTTTCCTTGCTACCGCTAGGTGTTGTCATACCCACTAAACTGAGCCTATTCTAAATGTAACAAATTCTAGGCCCAGTCACGGCCCACCTTGACTGAGTGTATATACAGTTATATACTTCACCTTTAAAGCACTTATTCCCAAATTCATCCTCTACTAGATAAGCCCCATTACAAGTTGGAGCAATTACTAAAAATTATGAGTTTCACTTGTAAATCCTACACCTTTTTTTCATTCTTTAATTTAATATATAATTTCCACCAGTAAAAATTAATATATAATTATCTATGAATTAAACAGCTATCACCCAACGTGATCGGGATGTTTATTTTTTACTTTTAAATAAAAGAAATACAGCTTTGTTCCTCGGTGTGAGAGCATTAGTGCTTTTTTAGTAATATTTGGTCAACAAATAAAAAACATTTTTTTTCCTTTTGTCGAGGTGGAAGAATTTATCGTTGTTTTCCTTTCCTTTTTAAGGTTTTTTTTTCTTTTTAAAAAATTTTTAAATTAATAGCATTAAGCCCAACCCCATTTCAACCCTGATCCAAGCTGGAATTAGGCCACAGGAACGTAGTTCAGGTACAGGCCCAATGAATAAGCTAAACTCAATCCAAAACAAAGATTGGGCCGGGCACGAATTGGCCCGCCCAAATTGCAATCCAACAAGACAAATCTATCTATAAACCAACAACATCTAACCCTAAAGTCCCTAACCCAGAAACATGTTTCTCCATGTGCGATTGGAGAAGAGGGATATTGTTACTTAGCCCCCCTTTTGATAGTGCTTATTTGTAATCACTTATCATCTATTTAGTCAGGAACCACATCAATAATCACTTATATGTGTTTGAAAAATAACCAAATAAAAATTGTTTTTTAGAAAATTGCATCATTGCCAAATGACGTTTTACTTACATCGCTTCCAAACACAGCCCAAATGACGCCTTACCTCTGCTATTAATCACATTGTTCTTTATCTTACGATCATGCATCACACGTGCCCAAAGACACAGCAGACCAGAGGACTAGAGGAGGAGGAGGAGGAGGTCAATTCCAAGTTCCAACATTCGGGAATCGGGGAGACGGGAACCGAATAAATGCTAATCTGACTGCTATATCATTATGTTTGTTCAGACGGTCAAAATGTGTTTGCAGCTGATGGTTCTGATTTTTAGAAGTTAGGTAGGACCCAAGCAACGGTAGGTCCTGATTCTCCCAAGCAAGGCGGGGTAGCAACTTATTAGCGTATATGGTATGCATATAAAAAGGGATGAGTAGTTAGGTTTTTGGGCAAGAGAGAGGGGAGATTTTATAGGGAAGCTTTCTTCGGTCCTTCCCCTCCTCCCGTCTCTTCGCTTCTACGTTTTTTTACACTTCTTTTTAATTTTCCTCTCAAACCCCACTCTCTCTCTCCCCCTATCTTTTCCCTCCTCTTTCCAGTACTGTTACTGGTACTACTGTATTCTGGTTCCTAGGGTTTTCGATCCTTTTGTGCCCGGCCGACCTCTAGGGTTTTCTATTCACGTATTCGCGTTCGAGTTGCCACAATGAGTAATAACAAGGATCACTTCAACATGGCTGATCTCGGTGCTACTCTTCCTGGTGTCCCTGTTGGTAAAACAAAACTGACTTAAACCCTAATCCCTCACTTTCTCTCTCTCTCTCTCTGGGTGTCTTTATTCTCTCTATCCGTATTTTTCTATTATCCACACATATTTCTATCTTTCTTCTGTGTTTTCAAAACCCTAATGGCTCTCTGTTCCATTCTCGCGTGTAGCTCTTAGCGCCGAGGATCGAGCAGGTCTTGTTAATGCCCTCAAGGTGAGTGGTAGCCATCGACTCTTAGATGCTATAGAAGGATTCCTGTTATCGAATTTTAGGGCCGCGTTTGGCTGACCTGCTAGTGTTTATTGCGGTTTGGGTTGTTGTGCAGAACAAGCTTCAGCATTTGGCGGGACAGCACTCCGATGTGCTCGAGTCTCTATCAACAAAGGTCAGGAAGCGTGTCGAGGTCCTCAGAGAGCTCCAGGTTTGTGTTCCCTTTAACTCGGATAATTATGCCAATGGAATGAAAATCCCTTCTAAGAGTATAACTTTCTATCTTGGTTTCTCATTTTGGTTATATTCTATTAGAGCTTATATTTGTTATCAGTATGATTTATGAGCCGTGGATGCGAAACTGTTGGATTTTATACGATTATTTTAATAGTCTTACGGTCTCTTATTGCTATTGACCTGCATTATTGTGTTGTCCTAGAATGTTGTAATTGCCGATTCTGAATTATGATCATACTTGTCCTGCATTCTTTCATGATCCTATGCTTGAATGGTTACAATGATGTATAACTCGGTGTTTGTCCTGCTTGTTCCGAACCTATGTATCACGAAATTAGATACACTCTTATTTTGAGATGATAAGAATGAATTTCTCATGACAAATGAATTTTCATACGTGGCATTATTTCTTTTCAGTTTTTATGGTTGGATCTTATACTTCATACTGACCATACATAACCAACCAAAGTGGCCAATGGTTCACTAGCCATTTCTGCCCCCTGGCTGAGACCTTGACTAGTCTATGCGGGGACATGTCCTATTAGACCAGTAATGTTCTGAAGCTCATGGATATGTTCAATCCCAACAAAGACAACAAGTTTGCAATGAAACACATTACTGGATATGAAGTTCAAGGATATGTTCACTAGCCATTTCTGCTCCCTGTTTGAGACCTTGATGTCTGTGCAGGGACATGTCCTAGTAGACCAGTAATGATCTGAAGCTCAAGCATATGTTCAATCCTAACAAAGACAACAAGTATGCAATGAAACGCATGGTACTGGATATGAAACTTTACTACAACCACGGTAGCATAGGTTTTCCATGCCAAATTGATAATTAGCCTCAAGGATCAAAACTTTGCAACATGTCGGCCCGTATGTATTGTATTGGTGATCCACTGATACACCGTTATATGGATTCTTTCGGGGTTTGACCTGTTACAGGTTGTAAACAAGCCTTATACCGCCCTCCCTCTGAACAGGATTGAATATTGATCTGTATCAACATTTAGAACCTTGATTAGCCTTTAGGATTCCTAAGTAACTAGTTGATCTGTTTTTAACACTTTCACTTTTCTGCATCTAGATAGAATATCTATTTGAATAAGGTTCACTGTCCCTTGCCTCTTTCTGTTAGTGATTGCAAGCTCCCAGCTTGTAAAATCTAGTTGTTCTCCAAAAATTTCCAACCAGGATGTTTTGGAGCCAAACTTAAAGCTACTACATTTTCTCTTTTTGTAATTTATTTCTTTCTTTTTCAACATAGGGATAAATCTCTTTTGCAGTTGGCAAGAGTGGGGAATAGTGAAGTTCAATGTGTGTTCTCCATCCTTATTCTATTCGTGTTTTTGCCCTGCATTGATACATCAAATTTCCTTGGTATCCTTCATATGAAAGTTATTGTGTTGTTTGCAAATATGATTTCATGAATATATGTTTATGCCTCATGTACTTCTGTTCTTAGTGGTTCTCAATTATCATTCGGATTTTGTTTCTTTTCATGATCCTATGTAGTGAAAGATTCCTTTTGGTTTCCATCCATTCACATTATATTTTTTATTATTGGTTTCATTAGGTTGAATAATGTGAAGCACTGTTGATATTTCAAAAGGCTTTAATGTCAAGAACATTTTTTGTTCTCTACCCTCTTGCTTGGCTGTTGGCTTGTTCTTGCATGACCTTTTGCAGTCAAGCAATACAATGAAGCAAGTGGCCTTTTTTTTTCCCTGCAGTTAAGTTTTTAGTTGTGCATCCTTCTAATGCCTTCCCTAATTGCAGGGTCAACATGATGAATTGGAGGCAAAATTCTTCGAGGAGAGAGCAGCGCTTGAAGCTAAATATCAGAAACTATATGAGCCACTTTACAACAAGGTAGAGTTCCCATTTTTTCTTTTCTGTTTTAATAAATTCAAGAGGAAGAAGAGTATACAGATATTGCGTATGTCAGACAACTATTGACATGGCTCTGATACATCCAATCTTGTATAAAGATACATTCTACCATAGAAAGCTAGCATGTGTTATCCATGCATTTTCTGTATAATGGGTCAGAAATGGATAACACTAAAACTTGTCTATGTTACCCGGATACAGCAATGACATGGCTGGATATGCCATTAGATACAAAATTTGCAGTAGTAACCTACATGATATGACACCTTTGTACAAATATCCAGGTATCTTAGTTTGGAGCTTTTGACATGGACATGATATCTATTTTGAAGTATGTAAGGGTAATAAAGGTGTTAGCAGAACATCACAGCTTGTTCTTGTAGGAGGGCACTTCCACCCCTTTCTTGAGATGATTTGCGATAAATCTTCTGTTTTCATCTATAATATGCTCAGGGTTAGTACCATTGGGCTGCTTGTGTCAATGGTAACATTGCCTTTCTATTTTTTTTCACGTTACAGCGATATGACATTGTCAATGGTGTGGTTGAAGTAGAAGGTGTTACAAATGAAGCTGCAGCAGATCAAGAAGAGGACAAAGGTGCAGAAGGTGCCTGATGAGAGCAAATCTGGTTGCTTTTATTAGTTTTTAAATTTGTTTGATTTTTGTCTGCCATGTCTGATCATTCACTTGTGCACTTGAGCAGAGAAGGGAGTTCCTAATTTCTGGCTCACTGCCATGAAGACCAATGAAATTCTAGCAGAGGAGGTAAGGGAACATTGTTTACAAATTTTCCTTGGTGACGGGATCTTCTCCTCACAAATTGGCACCTCACAGGCACATCCACCATACATTGGGAACATTTCCCGTGAATGATAACCAATAAGTATGGGAGATGTTCCCAATGCATGATAGGATGTGCGTGTGAGGCGCCTGTGAGGCGCCAGGTGTGAGGAGCAGATCCGGTCTGTTTTCCTTGTTGGTTGTTTCTAAAGTGATTGACTTTTTTTTCTTCGCATTTTTGGGAGTTCAGATTTCAGAGCGTGATGAAGGGGCACTCAAGTATCTCAAAGACATCAAGTGGTGTAGGATTGATAATCCAAAGGGGTTCAAGCTGGAATTCTTTTTTGATACTAATCCTTATTTCAAAAACTCTGTTTTGACAAAAACTTATCATATGATTGAGGAGGATGAGCCTATCCTAGAGAAAGCAATTGGGTAAAATTGCCTTTTACTGTACCTTTTTTTGGTAGTTATTGTATCAATTCTTTAATTGCAGCTCTTACCAACATATATAACTTTTTTGTAGCACGGAGATTGAATGGTATCCAGGGAAAAGCTTGACTCAAAAGCTCTTGAAGAAGAAGCCAAAAAAGGGATCAAAGAACGCAAAGCCTATCACAAAGACTGAAAAGTGTGAAAGTTTCTTCAATTTCTTTGATCCACCACAAGTTCCTGAGAATGATGATGATATAGATGAAGATACTGTAAGTTCAACTACATTACATCTTATGAGCATTGTAGATGTGTTATCTGAACTGTTATTCTTTGTTTTTTTTTTTTAATGTTTTGGCAGGCTGAAGAACTTCAGAGTCAAATGGAACAAGATTATGATATTGGGTAGGTTAATGTAATATTTTCTTGCATTAAATTATAGGAACAGCTTCACTTTTTCCAACTTGAATTTTTCCTGATTTAGTTATGCAGAGGGATCTGAGAATCAAATGTCATATACTTTCCTTGTTAAAGTAAAATTAGGCCTAATAGAATGTTACTTGATAGGCAATTCTATGAACTTTTATCGTGATAGTTGTGCATCTTGTGTACCTTATTGGTTCTGGTTGATTAGACATCTCAGCCAGAGAAGGGGGATGTTCCATTAAAATTCCATAAAGATCCTGTACATTTACTTGAAAAAATGAGCTGAAGCTTGGATCCTTTTTAGATCTACAATTCGAGATAAAATTATCCCACATGCTGTTTCGTGGTTTACGGGAGAGGCTGTTCAGGGGGATGAGTTTGAAGATGACATAGAAGGAGATGATGAGGATGAGGATGAAGATGGTGAAGAAGATGAAGACGAAGATGATGATGAGGATGATGAAGATGATGACGAGGATGACGATGATGAAGATGAAGGGAAGGGCAGGAAGAAGGTATGTACAGGACAAACCTTGTGTTACTAGTTTCTATTGTGCTTTATTCCCTGCATTTTCAGATTGTTAATCTTACAAAATTCTGATCCCTTTCCATTTTGAACTGTTGCTCTAGGCGTCTGCTGGATCCAAGGTAAGATGGTGTTTTCGATGCATACAACTATATAAATATTTGATTTGTCCAATTTGCTAGTTAGGTTTTGGCTATATCTTATCGTCCACTTCAATGCTCTGAACTGCAGAAAAGCGGAAGGGCCAAAACTGGGGAAGGGCAGCAGGGTGAACGGCCTCCAGAGTGTAAGCAGCAATAGGTGTTTGATTGCAGACAGACAAGAAGAGCACATGTAAACCGTCTCTGGGTCGTTTAAACGAGTGAGAGTGGGGAAGGAAAGTTTTGGGGTGTTGATTTTCTGTTTTTTTTTTTACAATTATTATTTTTAGCGTCCTTTTTTTTTAAAGTAGGGTTGGGGATGTGGTCGTGGTTATAATTTGTTTATGCCTTGCGGGTTTCTTCTGGTTGCCCTGCTTTGTGGACTTTACATGAACTAATTTTAGTAGATTTATGTTTTGATCAAGTGCTTTGACATAATATCTTCCCCAAGCTTTCTTTCATATTCTTTTTGTTCGTCGGAAAGTTGTTTTGTTTTTCCAATGAGAACTAACTTGACCGAGGGTTTTGGTGGTTCTTCAAATCTGAGTAGTTGAGCCTGATATATGGACGGCTAACTTGATAACAGGGAGAATGAAGAAGGGCTTAATCATGTTGATAGTTATTGAAGAGCTTCACTTCCATTAATGTGTTTTGAAATACGAATTCAAGTACTTTGTAAAAGATTTCTGTCATTCCAAAGTGCTAATTGTGGGCATTTTTTAAGTTGGCAAGTATCAAGGTTGCTATTGTGGAAAGCTTTGGATGCGTCAGTTTTTGATCATACATCTTAAAAAAAAGAAAGATTTAATTTCCATGCAATCGGCAGATGTTGTAGTTCCGGTCCAGTAATGTTATCACTAGACTAGATTACGCGTCTTATGGATGCTGGTGGTCACACACTTTTGATGGTTACAACTAAAAGTGTTAAGCTAAACCTTAGTAAAAAAAGACTTGGGAGTTGGGAGACACGGGGGTTTATGAAAATGTGCGAGTACAAAAGACCTTGCAACCAGAAAAAGAGGAGAAATAAAATATCGTTAATTAGATAAGCCAGGATCAGGTGAAGATAAGGGGCAGTCATAAATCATAACTCAGATCCTGATTTCATTGGTAACTTGGGAAACAATATAAAATTGCCAAGTCCCAACGAGATGATGGGAAATGCAGACACAGACTAGACGCTATTTTGCACCAGAAGTCTCAAGGTTAGGTATCGATGTTTGTGCATCCAATTGAAAATGTCCATTTTTATGACCCCAAAAGAAAGCATGTTGTCGGTATATTCTTCGCACAGCATACTCGAGATCAATCACCCGAACGGAATCATTGTTATTTGGCAGGGGAAAAACTCCACGCACCATTTAACATGGCAGGCATTCGAATTTCATATATAAATGAGTCTTCTTTAGTCTAAAATTACAGGAAAAATAGCTTATTGGATGCATCCAGCCTGTGTTCTGTGTGAACTCAGAAGCTGGTAAGAGTGGGTCGTGGGGTGGTAGTATACAGACTGTTCATCTGTCATTCTGAGAATGTTTATGGACTTGACAGACTATTTCACTAGATCCACATCCACCATTTACCTAATGTTTATTTTGCGTACCAGGCAACATGGAATTCAAGTAGAAAAGAGAACACTACAAATCCAACATTTTCGGTCCCTTTTCTGGACCTGAAAAAACTGTTTCCCTAAAACTTCTGAATAATGAATATCTAACATACGGTGCTGAAATTGCTGTAAGAAGTTATCTGCTATCGACTTCGTACATGCTTTACATTCTTCAATGATGATTATGGAAAACAAATTTCACTTGGACCAACTCCTCAAACAACTATCCTGCTCTTTCATTTCATTTGGTTCAAAAGGGCATTATGAAGAAATCGCCATGGAGCTTGAAAATGAAACCTTCTCAATCTCAACTATTTTGCATCCCCTCTCTTATATCTAATTTAGTTTAGCAAACCTTTTGGAATGTGGAATGGGCCGTGTCTATATTTATTTTATGGATAGTCATAGTGCTGCTAGCTTCGAAGATATACATAATACAATCAAGGATCTTCTTCTTCTTCTTCTTCATGTGTTATATAACCTGCCGTAATTCATGAATTTCTTGATCTCATCGTATAAAACTAGGACTGCAGCAGCACCAGTGCTCCTAAACATGTTTGAGAGTGCACCGCGGTAGAAGGAAGCTAATCCTTCTGTCCTGTAAATCTTTCTCCAGCAGTCCAGGGTACTATGGTACGTTGGCTGCTCCAAACCAGACTGGATCATCATCCGCCTCCGTACAGTATCAAATGGGTAAGACACTAAGCCTGCCGAGGTTGTAACCGCTTGTGCTACCAACCACCGTTTCCACAGTGCGACTTGTTTTGATTCTTCTGACATGATCTCCTTCAATGTATCAAACCCCCCAAAGTAAAGGCCACGGTGGACAATCATCCCATGTAGAGAAGCAGGGAGGCCTCTGTAGATTCCCCTGATACCATTTTTCCTGCGAATGGTACCCAGTAAGTGAATGATGCCCCTGAATTGACGAGCCTCTGTTGTCCCAATATCGGCTGCCAGGCGTGTGTGGGCGATTTCAAGTGGGTAGATGATAACCAATGTTGTACAACCAGCTGCAGCTCCTGCTATGAAGTTGTCAAGGGCACCGGAAATGAATGGGCTTTCTTGAGATCTGCGGCACCTCAACATGTTTCTGTACAGATCCTGAACAGGACGATGCTTGGTTAAGATTTAAGAATGTTTCTTATGTTAACATACAATGTTTTTCTTTTCATGAATTGCCTTCATCACCTAGCAAAATTGAATAAGCAGGCATCTCAGTTTCCTGACAATGGCACATCATTCTTTTTTGTTATCAGAAGTATGGAAACTTAAATATCAATAACATTAATTCCTTGACAGAAGAATAAACCCATATAAAAGCTGGGATCCAGCTAGAGAACAGATATGAACGTCTTATTAAAACTACAATGTGCAGGAGAAGGAGGTTCTCCATATTGGGGTATGCATGAAATGAATACAGAGACGATGGCCATTGATTTAACATATATACGAAGAAAAACAGGACCCAGTACGTGCGACGGTGCAATAATCCATAGAGAAGGCAAATAATTAAGGAGAAAGAAGAAATGAGAGTGAACCTTGAGGGAGAAATTGAGAGCAAGAGAAGGGTAGTGGCGGAGGACACTAGTGGCATTTCCCCTCCAGAGAGAAAGGACACCCTCCTCTCGGATGGTACGAAGGATACAATCCAACATTCCATTGAACCTGCGGCGGCCGCCACCACCGACGATAGCTAAGTTGCTTTCCTGAGTCTGTAGCAACAGCTTGGCTCTCTCGATGGGGGCCACAATTGTGTGGGCAACTCCCCCAATCACCGCTCCCGCCATCAGATCCCTGTGGAAGTTAACCAGCCATATCCACGATCTTGGTCGTGTTCTATCCTCTTCATCATATTCTCCCCACATTCCTTTCTGTTGCCCCCGCGCCCCACCAATTGCAGAATTTCTCTCTCTTCTCTCTCTCTCTCTCTCTCTCTCTCTCTCCCTCCCTCCCTCCCTCTTATTGTCTGGTGACGGATTAATCGGTTAATTATGAGCTACAAATTCATTATTTGTTTTTTCCCTTTCAATTCATGCATGGTTTCGTAATTGGGAGAAAGAAAGAAGCAAAGAAGGAAAGAGAAATGAAATGAAATGAACGCCATTTCATCTGTTTGATTTGTTTATCTTCCATTTTTATTCGTTGTCTTCTTTCTTCTTTCTGCTCTCCTTTTCTTGCTCCCTGGCGCCTTCATTTCATCATTGTATGCATGGAAAAGGAATATTATTAATAAACAACTCCTTTAACGCAACTCTTGTTTTCTGCGCCCCACGAACTACGGAAAGACATTATTCAACCTTTTAAAGGATTTGACCATGTGAACAGAGAACTCAAGAATTCTATTGACGTTGTATTCCGCAAATGATTGACGTTTGACAAAGAAAATGTAATCGCCATATGCTCCCTGAAAATTAGATTTCTCTAAATTCCAATATTTTATTCTACCATTAAAAGTAATGGCCATATTTCTCTAAATATCCCTCTTTTTAATTTTAATTTGCTCCCTCTCTCATCATAATATAATTTAAAGTTTTAAACCATTAATTTTCTCTCATTAATTCTTTTATAATTAAGATATTAATTCCCATCATTTTTCATTGAATTTTATCATTGATTACAGATTTAAAATATTCTTAATTTTGAATTTGGCCCTAAGAGTAAAAAATGTAATATTAACTATTACTTTTCAACTCATTAAGTTGTATATTTAAGGTATTTAATCCCATTTCTCTCTCATTGAATCTTATATTCAAGTTATTTTAAAATTCTATCAATTAGATCTTATCCAATACTTTTAACAATATAAAACTCATGTCTTTTAATTGATCCAAAAACAAAATCATTCTTCCATCTTGGTGGCAGATTGGCCTACAAGCAATTCAACCTTCCAGATCAAATGGTATTGACCTTTTTTATCATATTTAAATAATAAAACTTTTAAAATAGAAATAAATAAAAAAAATTATAAAATTTAAATAATTAAAGTAAAATTGGCATATCTCTAATATTTTATACTAATCATATTAAAGAAAAAACAAGTACACTAAATAATAATTGTTTTTATTGATGTTAGAAATGAAATACAAAATTTAAAACTAGCCCAAAAATGAAATTATTTTCCTATTTCATGGTGAGTCAAGTCAATAGTTCAACCTTTTTGGGTCAAACATGTCAACCCTTGATGTTAGATAATAATAGAATTTAAAAAATAAAAACACAAAAATTGACAAAATATAGAAATTAACTAATATTTTATATTAATCGTATTAAAGAAAAACAAGTATGATAAAAAAATGTTTTTCATTGATAATGTAAATGAAATGCAAAATTGAAAACTAATTAACCCAAAAGTGAAATTGTATTCCTATGGTGGTAGGTCAATAGTTCAACATTTTATCTTAAATGTGTTAATTTTGGACGTCATAGTTAAATAAGTGTAATTAATAAGAATTGTTTTTATAGTTGATAGAAATAAAATATAAAAATTAAAATCAACTCAAAAATGAAATTGTTTTTCTATTTGGTGGTGAGTCAATAGTTCATCCTTTTATGTTAATTGTGTCAACCCTTGATGTCATAATTAAATAATAAAAATAAAAAAGAGAAAACATAAAAAATATAATAAAATGTAGAAAACATTTGGTCACATATCTAATATCATATATTTATCATATTGAACAAAAATAAATATGATAAATAAAAATTATTTTTATATACATGAAAATATAAAAAATACAAAAAATTTTGAAAATATATAATTATTATTACTGTATGCTATAATCTAAAACTATCATGTGTGAAGCACACACATTGAGTTAGTAGTTTCGACTATGAGATGCAAGTAATCCCATGCTGTTTGGCCAACTGTAAAGCATGCTTGGTGGTACAAAACTCAACTGAAGCTATGCCTTTATGCCAATGGACTTCCGTATCTGCCCCTCCTAGCCTACCAATGCATGTTCTTCTTGTATTATTTTATATACTAATGTAAAGGCATATATAAATAAAAGGTAAAGATATAAGTTATGATTATATTATCGAATTTAACTTTTTAAGAGTTGTACTAAAATCAAGACAAGTATCTGCTTTATAAAGTATATATACTTATAAATGCCTAATGTGTCCTTTTACTTTAGGGAGAATGATGGTTCAGCCCAGTTCAGAATTTTTAGGCTCAAAGTATAATTAGGGTGGGTGACAGCTCAAAATTGATGCTAATTCACAGGCAGCATTGCTGTATAGAGTAGGTGTTTTTGACATTTTAAATGTTTATAACTTTACAGTGGAAATCAGAAATCTGCATTGGACCTGTCCGTACTTCTCCATTAGTTTGATCTATCCATGCATGGTGGATTCTATATGAAAAGTGAGAAGTGAGATGATAGGGTTGTTTGTCAGTGTCATGTCACGATGTGATTACTCCCACTTGGTGGACCAAATTTGCTCAAAGCATTCATTCAAAGATTTTCACAAAACCGTTTGTTTGATAAGTTCTTCTATTTCTTCAATTCGAAAATATAAATTAATTGGGTAGATTTTTAATAGTACCTTAAGTACTTCTCTGGAGTTTCAGTGAAATATTAAGATTTAAGACCTGTCCTTCCCTTCTAGTTGAGTGTAAATCTGCTGCAACCCTCCAATGAAGCTTGAATATGCAGGTAGTGGAGATAAATTCAAAAGATATTTAGATTTTCTCTTCACAAAATTGGTTCTCACACTGAAATACTTGCGGTTTTGGATTGGGAATGTCTCTGTACTTATATATTTTCATTCATAGCAGCTTCAAGTATTTCATTTGGAGGGGATTGCAACTCACAAGTAGTGATGCAAGTTGGGCTGGATTAGGTTCAGGTTAATCATAATTCAAGCCAAACTATTGGACTCAGGTTGGCCCAATTTCTCTAGTTTTCTCTTTTTTGGGTACCACAACTTCTCTACTTTTGCCAAATGTTTCCTAGACTCAAGAAGATTGAGGTGAATTCACTATTTAAACAAACATTATTATGTTTTAAAAAATTACTTTAATGTATATACATACATAACTATATACATAAATACATAAAAACATGCATTTATTATTACAGAAAAGTACAGACAGGCCTAATGTAGATTTCTGAATTCCATTGCAGAACTATAAACATTCAAAATGTTAAAAATTCACATTCTATACACTAAATGCCTGTCTGTAAATTGACATCAATTTCGAGCTGACACCCACCCTAACTGTACTTTGAACCTAAAAATTCTGATCCTGGACTGAACGTAATTCTCCCTTATATTTATTCATACATTTAATGTATGTGAGGTGGGACCTATGGTATTAGTATGGATTGGCTGTTGGTTGTTTTTTTGTTGGATTTCCTTGTGCCTCGATGGTCTCTTTGTGTCATTATGTTGTTTTTTAATATCTGTCTCAAACATAAATTAATAAATAGATGTTTATATAATATTCTGTATGCATTCATACAATATAAGTTACATCAAGTATGGATTGGCCGGTTGGGTTGGGTTGCCCCCGGTCTCAACCGTAATCCAACCTTAAATTAAGTCAAATTGGTACTTTCAATCCTAATCCTAAAACTTCAATCATATGGTATGGTCTCTTTCCAAATCAGCCTGTGAACTTTGGTTGTTGGGACCAATAGTTGGTGAAAGCGTTTTAGGCTGGAATTCACGTTTATGTCTATGTTTATGGTTAAAAAGAAGGGTAAATTTCTTAAATTATCTTTATGATTTAGCTAATTGATTAAGTATATCTTTATTGTTTGAAAATTGACTAACACTATCCCTACTGTTTATGATAATTGACTAACTCTACCCTTACTGTTATTATCCTTACATGTGATATCATGCGAGTAATATATTTGTGAAAAATTCCAAAAATACCTTTTTCACCTCCATTCCTAAAAATACCACATATGTTCCTAAAATACTATCCCTAAAACCTCTCGGTCACAGATAGTGGTTCGTGACAGTGGTCTTAGTGTGAGTTTCGCCCAAAACCAAGACAACAATGGGGATTTATCAGCTTGCTAATCTCCATCTACGAGTAATATTTTCTTTTTCGCGAAAAAGAAATTTTACCCAAAAAAGCTCATTAGTTGTTGTGGAGAGAGAGAACTGAACAGTTGATCCGAGACAGAAGACGATGAACAGTTGATTCATCAACTTTTGAGGCCTCTGCAAATGAACAATTTCCGAGACGGAAGATGATGAACGAAAAACGACAACATCATCTCAGGCATCAAAGAGCTCACCCTCACCTTTGAGCCATCCATAGATCCCTGCCAAATCCAGCACCATGCGCTGATGCTCTTCTTTAGTGCCAGTGATCTCTTCCACAACTTCAGCGACGGGTTGGTGTTTTCGCTCATCTTCAATGACGTGTTACCGGTGGCTATCAGAAGCAGCCGCACTTCTTCCGCACTCTGCTCTTATCAAAGCTCGTCTTCAGGTCGTCTTCCGCGCTCTACACCAGTAACAAAACCAGAAATATGCTCACCAGTCACCAAAGTTGCTACAGTTGCCAAATAGAACCCCAGTACCCCACCAAGGACTCTGGGTCTTCCTATCCTCTGTCAGAATGGATCCCTCAGCTTTACTGGAGTGGCGAATTAATTGGGTTACTAATCAATCCAAGGGGTCAGAGCAGAGACTGTTAAGGCCAGCATTGAGTAGGTTCTCGACTACGAGTTTTGAATTCTCTTTGTTGCCTTTGCTTCTCTGCTAGTTGAAACAGTGGTGAGGCTCGGTCCTATCATTGAAGAAGTTGAACAACTCGAAAGACAAGCAAGACTCAGACAGGTAAAGCCTCGTGAAGATCAACAAGAGCATATTGAAATAGCAGAGAAGCAATCTGTAGTTT